TTCCTGAATGAATCAGCCGTTTGAACGAATCAAATGAATGAATGACTGACTCAATGACTTACTCATAAGGCATTTCCCGTCACCTAGTGGCAGTTTTAGTTTTTTATTTAGAGTATCATTTCATTTAAAATAATTTCATATTTACATGTTTATAAAAAAAAAATCCATATTAGTAAAAAAACTAATTAAAGGGATAGTTCATCCAAAAATGTATAAAAATAATAATTATTATTTCTAAAGATACATTATGTAATATGTCTATTTCAGACTTTTCTCATGTAACACAATAATGGCATTAAATGATCTTTTGTGGGCAATTTCTAAGCCAAATTTGATGTGATTAATATGCGATTAATCAGATTAATTAATCACCACACTGTGTAATTAATTAGATTCAAAATGTTTTTAAATGAATGATTATGGAACGTTCTTATGACTTTATTAATATTTGATATTCGTTCTCATAACGTTGAGAGGAAACATTCTTAGAACATTATTTTCTGAATGTTCTCGTGATATTATTTTTACTTTATGAATTTTCTTATAACGCTGAGGGAAAACGTTCTGAGCTCAACATTCTTGGAATGTTCGTATGATGTTATTTGTACTTGATGAACATTCTAAAAAGGCTTTTGTAACCTTTACATAACATTCTAATCAACGTTCTTAGAATATTAAAAATAAACATTCAAATAACATCATATTTTGGGTAAAAATAAAATTAGTAGAATGTTTAAAAAACATTTTAGTCACCTTTAAATAACGTTATAACCATCCCAAGAAAACGGGATATTTCAATGTTTTAGAATCATTTCAAAACAATGTTCCCACAACATTTTTATAACCTTCCATAGAGCGATTCTTTTGAGTCACTCAGTCAATGAATGATTCCTCAGTCTGACAGTATTGTTAACGTTAACTAAAACTATTAAAAATCCCTTTTGTTAATCGAAATAAAGCTGAAATTAAATACAAACATTAGATGAAAAACTCAAACTAAAAATGCTTTGGCAACTAACTGAAATAAAATAAGTTTAATTTGAAGCACCAAAATTACTCAAACTAAAACTGAAATAAAATAAAATAATTAAAGCTAAATAGAAATAATAAAAAAAAACATTAAAATAAATAAATTAAATTAAAACGGGAAAATATACAAATAAACGCTAGTTCAAAACATTAATAAATAATATTATATTAATATTATATTAAGCTAGGTGACTGTGGAGGTGTTTTTAGTTACTGTTACAGTACGTCACATCAAACTCTTATTATTATCTTATTATTAAAAGAGCAAGAAATAGCTTGTTTTCTTCATATTTAAATGATGTTTCACGTTTTAGTAGTTTCAAATGAACTTTATATTGATATAAATCAGGACACAGACAAGCTTCATCTGATTGTTGCTGAAGGGTCACCTGATCTCGTTGGGAATCTCCTCCTCCTCGTATTTGTTCTTGTTTCTCCAGTAGAAGAGCGTGATGAGCACCAGTAAAGAGCAGATGAGGAGCACCAGAATAGCAGTGGCGATGGTTCCTGCGATCAGACCGACGCTCTGAGGCTGTGCTGTCACACATCAGAGACAGACAGACGACTGTGAGGTCGGTGTGTGTGATTTAATGACACTAGGACTGTGCAAAACTACACATTTCAACCTGATGAGTGCTGTGGGATCTCCTAACATCACTGTATGTGAGGGTGAGTGTGGACAGAATCCGGTCATATTTACTGTATAATGTGGAATGTCAGAATTTGGCAAAAAGAAAAACAAAACAGAATTTGGGGAAAAAATAAAAACAAATACCAGGGCCCTAAAAATTAATGTTTGGTGAAACTTTTAATAAATTGTTTTTAAATGGCAAGTTTCACGATTTTAGTTAATTAGCCATGTTTTTTGATGACTGCTGTACGTGAATATTAAAACACAAAAGATTATTATCAAATACAGGTCTTCAGTACAACCTCATAATAAAGGTTCAGTTTAACTTAAAGACACTGTGACAGAAATATATCAGTATTGTACAGCAGAATATACTTCTCAAAGTAGTAATAATAATAATAATAAAATTAAAGGTTAATTTTTAAAGGAATATCATAATTTTCTTCCATGCTTTAATTTGAGCAGTAAAGCTGTTATGAAGCACGTTGTTTGTTTGTTTGTTACATTTTCAATTGATTACGATAATTTTTAATAATACATTTGTATTATATCATAAAATGAATTATATCAAAAAATAAAAAAATATATATACTATATATATATATATATATATATATATATATAT